TCATACTTGCAAAACATTGACATGCCAGATTTCCAGTGGCGACTTGACAACTACATCCCGTCACATCTCCAATATGCTGCTCAATTTTGGATAGATCATCTGGTACAGATGGCCTATGATTCAGGCAGTGGCCAGGAAGTGCAGAATTTGCTATTTGAAAAGTTCCTGTTTTGGCTGGAGGTGTTGAGTTTACTTGGGATTGTGGGGTATGGTCACCAGGCTCTGTCTAACTTGATGGGTTGGGCAAAGGAGGTATGTCCAGTAATGATCTGATGAGATGTTAGGAAGACTGAAGATCATTAGAGCACATCCCTTCTTGAATTTGTGACTGATGCCAAAAGATTTGTTTCCTTCTTTGGGGAAGCAATCATTCAAAGTGCTCCTCATATTTATCTCTCAGCACTGGCATTGGCACCAGAGGAGTCCAAAATCGCTGAAAGATTTTTACACAAATTTCCACAGTTACTAACAATTACAAGAGGGAGAATGAAACAGTGGCCAAATATAATTGCTGTGCTAGAGGGGCACACTGATAGGGTCACCTCAGTTGCCTTTTCACCTGATGGCAAAAGGATTGTGTCTGGCTCTGAAGACAAGACTATGTGCATTTGGGATGCAGAGACTGGAGCTGCAGTCTGGGAGCCACTAAGAGGGCACACTGAGGCAGTCACCTCAGTTGCCTTCTCACCTGATGGCAAGAGAATTGTGTCTGGCTCCTGGGACAAGACTGTGCACATTTGGGAAGCAGAGGCTGGAGCTTCACTGAGGGAGCCACTGAAGGGGCACACCAATTGGGTTACCTCAGTTGCCTTCTCACCTGATGGCAAGAGAATTGTGTCTGGCTCCTATGACAACACTGTACGCATTTGGGATGTAGAGATTGGAGCTGCACTCAAGGAGCCACTGAAGGGGCACACTGATCGGGTTACCTCAGTTGCCTTCTCACCTGATGGCAAGAGAATTGTGTCTAGCTCTGCTGACATGACTGTGTGCATTTGGGATGTAGAGACTGGAGCTGCACTCAGGGAGCCACTGGAAGGGCACACCAATTGGGTTATCTCAGTTGCCTTTTCACCTGATGGCAAGAGAATTGTGTCTGGCTCCTGGGACAACACTGTGCGCATTTGGAATGCAGAGACTGGAGCTGCACTCAGGAAGCCACTGGAAGGGCACACTAATCAGATCACCTCAGTTGCCTTCTCACCTGATGGCAAGAGAATTGTGTCTGGCTCTTGGGACAACACTATGCGCATTTGGGATGCAGATACTGGAGCAGCACTCAGGGAGCCATTGAAGACCAATTGGGTCGCCTCAATTGTCTTCTCACCTGATGGGAAGAGAATTGTGTCTGGTTCTTATGACAAGACTGTGCACATTTGGGATGCAGAGGCTGGAGCTTCACTGAGGGAGCCACTGGACGGGCACACCAATAAGGTTACCTCAGTTGCCTTTTCACCTAATGGCAAAAGAATTGTGTCTGGCTCTTTTGACAAGACTGTGTGCATTTGGGATGCAGAGACTGGAGCTGCACTCAGAGAGCCACTGAAGGGGCACACCAATCTGGTTACCTCAGTTGCCTTCTCACCTGATGGCAAGAGAATTGTGTCTGGCTCTTGGGACAACACTGTGTGCATTTGGGATGCAGAGACTGGAGCTGCACTCAGCCAGCCACTGAAGGGGCACACCCATCATGTCACCTCAGTTGCTGTCTCTCCTGATGGCAAGAGAATTGTGTCTGGCTCTAATGACAAGACAGTGTGCATTTGGGATGCAGAGACTGGAGCTGCACTCAGGGAGCCACTGAAGGGGCACACCTATGGGGTCACCTCAGTTGCCTTCTCACCTGATAGCAAGAGAATTGTGTCTGGTTCTTATGACTATACTGGGCGCATTTGGGATGCAGAGACTGGAGCTGCACTTGGAAAGCCACTGAAGGGGCACAACAGATATGTCAGATCAGTCGCCTTCTCACCTGATGGCAAGAGAATTGTGTCTGGCTCCGCAGACAAGAATGTGCGTATTTGGGATGCAGAGACTGGAGCTCCACTCAGGGGGCCACTGAAGGGGCACACTGATGGGGTTAACTCAGTTGCCTTCTCACCTGATGGCAAGGGAATTGTGTCTGGCTCTGATGACAACACTATACGCATTTGGGATGTAGAGACTGGAGCTGCACCCAGGGAGCCACTGGAGGGGCACACCAATAAGGTTACCTCAGTTGCCTTCTCACCTGATGGCAAGAGAATTGTGTCTGGCTCCTATGACAACACTGTGCGCATTTGGGATGCAAAGGCTGGAGCTGCATTCAGGGTGCCACTGGAAAAGCATATCAATCCCTACTCACCCACTATCAAGTCTTTTCTCTCTGACTGCAACCGTAGCATCATTTGTCTACAGAATGTTGATTGCATTCCCAATGGCCCACCTTTCCAATATTCCCACTCTACAAGTGGATGGACTTTACTTGATGTGGGTTTCTCTTCTATGCATGCCTTTAATATGGACTCATTCTCTGGTTCAGTCCCTTCACTTGAAGTCCCCTTATGCACTTCTGCATTGGCAAATACATGATGGGTGGGTCTCTTGTCTCCCCTCAGACCACCTTTTTTGGCTCCCTATGCTGTTAGGATTGGACTGTGGTCTCCATACAACACACTTGTTATTGGCCAAGAACAGACTTTGCTCTCATATGACAAGTTTGTATATGGTGCAGACTGGGCAAAGTGTTATGCTCTGCAGAAAGCATGTAATAAATAATAAACAGTTTGAACAGTGAATCCTGGTTGACATACAAATTGAATAGCATCATTCAAAGCTGCCATTTTTGCCTCATTTTTGTCTCATTTTTGGTTTTATTTTCATTCTCCTTTTCTAAATAGGAAGACAAAATTAAGCTCCAAAATGCTCATTTCTCATTTCATTTTTGTTGTTCCTGCTGTTGCTCCTTCTTGTGCCAAGAGTCAGATTTTGAGCCCATCATTTCCTTCCTTCCTTCCTCCCTTTGTGCTGATTCTCATCCCCCTTTCTCTATGCTATCCAGTACTATCCACTGTCAGTTAAACACTCTTACACAATGGGCCAGCCCTAGTGTTAGCTACAGTTGTGGCAAAAAAGCTTGTCAAAAACTTGTCTCAAACTGTTTGGGCTCAATTCTTGACCAAATCACTTGAAATAAATCCTGCCATGAGGTTCTGGTGTTCTCATAAGCTTTCACATAGGTTTCACAATATCTCACCTCTGCCATCGATCCTGCATAAAATAAATAAGGGCTTTCTGAAAAATCAACTTTACAGAATCATCATGTATGCAGAAAAGGTGTATATAGCATGAAAGCACTTGGAGAGGTGAGCTCATTGGTATTTTAGTTCATGTGTGTTGATGGGGATTTGAGCTCACACTGGAGCCTACAAGTTGGCCATTTTGAGCAATTTTGGCCCATTTCCTGCACCCCAGTCAGCCCCAAACAAGCCCATGTTAGGTAATTCAGAGCATGGTGATAGAATGCCCCAAGGTGGCCCTATTTCATGGGTGCTGCCCATGGCTACTACTATGTGGGCATCCCCACTGTACATGCCCATCATTGCCCTGGGCACTCCCACATTGTCATCCATTTGCTTGTGGGCTTGCCCAACCACCTTACCTGGCAGCCTGGTGTCTGGGTCCCACCCCCATTTTTGGGCTTGCCCACCTTTCTATTGTATTTGTCTTGTTGTTTCTATCGTTGTTTTTAACTGGGTTTTATATGTGACCTGTTGGTTGAATGTGGCATGTATTGTTTCCTACACTCTATGGGTAGGTCCGTCCACATTCACTCATATACAGCAGTGTCCCTGCCTACTTGTTCACTGCTGATCATCTGTTCTATCCTTCAGATTTCTTACCTCCCCCCTCAACCTTCATTCCTTTATAACACTTGTATTGCACCTTTTTTTTGTCTATTCCTTTTAAGGTTTTAGTTGCCTCCCCTTCCCCAGTGTTGGCGAAGTCAGTCAAGAAATGTCAGAAGCAGTCAAGAACCTTGACTTGCCAGAATATTCACCCAGTCATGACACTGTCATGACTGGGTCAGTATTTGACAGCCCATGAAAAGAAAAAGCAAGATTTTTGGAACGATCGCAAATTTATCCAAACAAATTGGCCCAAGGAATCTCAGTCTGCCTATCTGATGGGGTCAAGAAAAATCAGTCAAACCTTGACTTCTGACCCAACATAATGACCCGGTCAACAGACAGTCAAGACAATACTGCCCTTCCCCTTTTCTGCCACCTTGCTATTTTTTTAGTATTTTGCTTACATGTCTCTCCCAATGCACCCATTGCATGCATTGCAGAAACCAAAACCTATATTTGCTCCCTTACAATTGCTTGTTCATCCTTTACCAGACTGACCATCTCCAACCTCCACATTACACAAACCTGCTACATGCTATCGGTCATCTCTTACCATGCTCTCATTTTTTCTATTCATTTTTGGTATCATGTTCTTCACACCACATTGTTTTCAAATCAACACCATACTGCTCCTCATAGTTTTCGCATCTGTGTTCCGCCAGCAGACGGGCATGCCCACACATTGTTGGGCATGCCCACTACATTCAATCAAGTATATGGGCATGCCCAAGTTATTTAAATATTATGTGGGCGTGCCCACCATTCCCTCCCTTGTATTTGAGCATGCCCATGTTCAATGGTGGGCATGCCCACTAATATACAATATTTGCAATGTTTCCATTTTTCACACATCAGATAAAATAACAGCCAAATAAACAACTGCTAGCGTCTCTAAATGGCAATTTTGAGGTAAGTTCAAAAACATAATTATTTCATTCAACTACATGTTCATTAATTTATGGGTCTATACATTGTTTTGGACAACAAAGACAGGAATCCAAGCACAAATTTTGTTTATTTACTTGAACCTCGACACTTTGGCCAGTTCAACACTACCTGGGATATTATATTTTGGTAACCATGTGGTATCTTGAAAATGGAGGACTTAACGGTTGTATGGTGTAGTGGTAACATCCTTGCTGGATTTAATGTCAAATTGCTTTTAGCAAGTTACTCGGGTTCGAATCCCGGTACAACCTTATGGTTTCATGCATTTTTTTCCTGAAAAACAGGATTGTGCCCCTGGCCAACTGCCTTCCGGTTCAACTTCGACTTGAGGGGAACCTCCTTATCCCCCGCCCGGCCTATGTAGCTCCAGCTGGTCCTTCAGCTTCGGGTCCGTCATCTTCGCGATCTCCGTGCGGTCCATCTCAATACCAATTGCCCCGAGTCTCTCCTTCTCCTTGCGAGCCTTCTCCGCTTTCTCAGAGTCCTTCGCCCACTTTGCCTCTACCGCTGCCAGCTTGTGCGCATTCAGCTCCACCTGCCTTGCCTTCTCAACCCCACTCTCGTCGATTCGACGCGCTTCCTGTCGCAGGAATTGCTGGTCCTCTTCGGTGGTCATGTGGTCGTCAATGAAGCCTTGGGTTTCGTTACGGTTGAACATTGTGCGGTCCGTAAAATGCCCGACAGTCGTGCTTGGGCTTTCGCGGGAAAATCGACGCCAGCCACCCAGGAGGCCCTCGTTATTGCAGTTGTGAGCAGGCATGTTCCCTTTGCGCCGCTCGGCCTCTGTGGACGTGTCAATCAAGCCTCCCTCGACAAACTCCATGGTAAAATGTTCAAAGCATTCCAATGCAGTCTTCAACCCAGCCACCATTAGGGGACGAATGTGGGGAAGAGTCGGAAGCTGTTTAATACATGTGTCCCATGCTTTTGTGTCGCTCCACGGTCTGCCGTCCAGCGTCGCGGTTTTGTACGAATCGGGAGACGGGGAGAAGAGGGGACCGGGATCGGCGATTAATTTCTTCATGTGAGCCTTCACCGAGGCATGATAAGGGCCGAGGTCCAGCATATTGAAGTTCTCTGCAGCGGGGGCGCGAACATGGAGGGCGTAAGGGTGCATTACCGCATGCAGAAGAGGACGAGGGCGATGATCTGGGAGATGGTTTGGGGGCAGTGGAGGCCTTTGACAATGTTCTCCTCGAGGTGGTTAAGCATTCGTTTCTGCTTATTGTCCTTCACAAACACCATGAATTCGCGGTGCTCCTCGAGGTAAGTGATGATTCGAGCGCCACCCCATCTGTGGGATTGGTTAGCGGGTGTTGCCGACGTCGGGGAAACGGACACTGGTGCCGATGGTGGGCCGGAAATAATTTTTGTAGACGTCGTGCACCCTTCTTGTCGTCTTTATGGTTTACAAGAGCACCAAAAAGCGAAATGAGCTTTACCCTACCTCGTTCCGAAACCTTTATAGCATGTTGTACTGCTGCAGTTGATTCCCTGGTGTCCTCGGCCAGCTGGATCGTCGCATCATTATCTTTGTCTTTGTTCGCCAATAAGACCCGCTGGTCAAGCTCCGGGTGATCTCTGTAGAACTTCTTCATCCCGTCGTCAAATGCCTTGCAAGCAATTCAACTCTTTGTGCATAGAACAGCCTGCCCAGAAGAACAGCTCGATCTCCTGTTTGCATTTCTCAGGAAGCATCTCGAAAACCTCTTCGCCAAGATGGAAGGCGAGCGTATCCAGTCCATCGATGATTTTGTGCGGGTATTCTTCTCCTGGTCCGAGAGCTTAGCCCACTGTGCCTCATCACCGACCTCGTGCAGATTACTCTTGAGGATATCGTGGACGACATTGACCAATTTCGCAGGTTCCATGTGCTGGAGCTCGTCGTAGCCAAGGAGAATTCGAGACAATTCGCACTTCCATTCGCTACCAAGCCGGTAGAACTTCTTAATGTTGGGTGCATGGTCGCCGTTACCGCCCTTCCAGACGCGTAAGAAATTGTGGACTTCGAAGTTGAGAGCGGACTGCTGTCCCAGAGGGCTTTGACAGGTAAACATCGGCGATATTGCGGATCTGCTTCTTCAGGTTCTCGAGCTGTGTTTCGCTGCTGTGCGAGACGGTGGAGGTGAGGGAGAGGATGCGCATCTTGTGGGACGAGCCCTTGTTGATCATAACATGAGCCCCTTCGTAGTTTTCGCCTTGGACTGATGTTGCGTCGCTGCTGAGGGTTACACCTAGACATTCAATTTGAGTGAGGCTGGATTGATGCATAAAAATCTTCATACCTTCGGTGTCCGCCATCTCATGAGCGGAGTTGTATCCGGGCCGTGACTCCCCCTTCAATTAGTGCACACTGGACTATACGGCGGCTCATGCGTCCCTTGACCTTTAGACCAGCCTGTCCCGCGATGTACAAAATGACGGAGGCGACCTTCCCCTGTGCACAGCCTGACTTATCAAGAACTCTTGTGATCGCCCTGGCCGTGGGAGTGTACCTGCCCTTCTCAATTAGACTCCAATTGCTTTTCTTCTTTGAATTTGCCTCCGCATTCTTTGCCTTGTCGAGTGCCTTGGCTCGAGATCGGGTGCTCCGGAGGTTTTGCATCTGGAGCGTGCAAAGCTTCTTCCGAGAGTCGTCGATGAGGTGCTTATACCTCGCCTGGTCGTACACGGATCGCTCCAATAGACGACGAAAGGCAGTCTTTAGTCCGGCCTCTGCCGCGTGCGCAGTGTTCTGATCAGTAATAGTGAGAAGAGCGGCGGTTTGGGAAGATGATAGCTGGGATTTTGTCTGTTTAAGCTTGTTCTGCAAGACCAGCTTCCCATGCTGCAGTCTTTGCAACCTTCCGTCGTTCAGCGCGCAAGTCGGAGTAGAGGTCCTGCTTTTGTGCCCGGACTTGTTGTAATGTAGATTGGGTTTGTAGTAATCACGTCTGGGTTCGTTCCAACACGGCGTTGAGTCGTGATTTTTCGTGCTGAGATTGAGTTGTAGGAGTTGTTCGGCTGCCGCTAATTCCGTGGTTGTTCTAGATCGCTGCTGTGCCGAAGTCTTTCGAGCGCGGGAGTTACTGGGCCGAATGTTCTCCTTCTCATGTGTAGTACGACTCCTCGCAGCCTGTGCTTCTAGAATTTGGGCCTTCTGGACAATGGAACATTTCTTGGGGCCCCGAGTGCTATTTCTGCCGGTGGTTCCCATGATTTGTCGAAATCACGATGCGGAGAAAGCGGGTTGCCTCGAGAGTGAACAGTCAAATTTAGTGGATACAGTGCAGAGAGGTTGTCTAATCAAAATTCAGACCCCAGAAGTTAAGCAGTCTTCTTACAAGTGTACCTAGTGTAACCGAGCGGTGGTAGTGAGTATTAGGGCAGGTGAAGTTGCCGAGTGATATTGAAAGCAAGAGACAGCATGTAGGGGCAATGGTTCGTCGGCAAAGCGAGGATAGAGCCTTGGATCAATTGGGATAACACTTTTGGATAAGGAGCGCAAGAACACAAGTCAATCCAGGACTCTGGAGTGGATTGAGGAATCTGCCACATATTGGACGCTCACAAGTACTTACAGAGGTTTTGATGTAATAAAATGGATTATAGAGGGACTGGACCGGTATTAGGTTGGTATTGGGTGTTAGGATATGGTGTAGAGTGAGTTGAGAGCACGAAGATTTACGTCAAGTGACCGCCGCAAGACAAGATGATGAGATGTCACATGCGTGACACAGTGGGCTGATACGGTGAAACTCACCGCACGTTTTCCGGGCCCTTGACTCAAAATTGGCCCAGGTCACTTGGGGAACCCTGGCCCAATTTGGTCGAAGAATGGTTTGTCCTGGGGAATTTTGAAGGCATGAAGATTTCATTTCAACTTACCCCAAAATATCACACGAGTTGTGTGATATTAGTCTGCTCACGGAATTTCAACAATTCCCCAGGACATTCCAGAGATAATGTATCTGCCTTTATTTTTTTCTCTTGGCCGACGAGCACTTTCTGAGTGGGAACTCTTTTAAAACGTGTCGCGAGGATTGGGGTCAATAAAAATTGGCACGTCGGCATGTCGCACGTGGGAAGGAATTGATGGCACCAGTCAATTGCCTACTACCAATTAAACTGACTCAGAAAAAGTATTGGATCACCTGACTATCCAGAAACATTTGTCCTATGCAGTATGCTCAAGTCAATTGGCCCCCAATCTTTTGCACCCAAAAGAGAGTCCCTTGAGTATAGTCTGTGCATGCGGAATATCAAACCAGTACATTGAGAACTCCGAGTTGAAGGGCAGAAACAGTGATGATGGGTTGATCCAACTATAATCTGCTTTTGGTCAGCACTGAGACTTCAAGACAAAAAAAGCCATTTGGTGGCCAAGTAAAATACACAAGCCATACAGAAGACTAATAGTGTGTATTACCGCCCTTTGCTTCAGCAATTCTTGCACCCTGTTCGGCAGACTGTCATATAACTTGTCGATGAAAGCCTGATCAATCTTCCCCCATTCCTCCTTCAAAGCGAGCCAAAGACTGTCGGGATTTTTCGGAAGGGGGTCCCTCGTGCATACCATGTGGTCCAGGTAAGACCACAGATTCTCTATGATGTTCATATCAGGTGAATTTGGGCACCACGGCAGCAGATCAATCTCCTCGAGATCAAACCACCCCTTTGCATGCTTTGATTGATGCTTTGGATCACTGTCCTGCTGAAAGTAGATGTGCTGCGGTCCAGATTATGATTGTCAAGGGTGTGGATGAGTGATTCAGAGAGTATATCCATGTAGAGAAAGCGAGCCATGATCCTGTTGATCAGTGAAGTTCGCCAACACCATATCAGATGATGCACCCCCCACACCATAACACTCCCATTGCCTTGCTTCACCCGCTTTTTGACATATGTGGGATCATTAGCATGCCTTTTTTTTTATTTTTATTTTAATCATGTTATTTGCCCCTTACTAGTACAGTATGGTAGGCATACTTCTACACGAAAGTATCTAGACCTAATTTGAATATTGACGTTTATATACTCTGCTGGCATGCTGTCCAACGGGCTGTGCCATGATAGGACGGTTGCGCATGGTTAGTGCGTGAATTAGTATTAGCATGCCCTGGCTCCCTCCAGCACCAGTCCCGGCCATCCGAACCGAAAACATTGAATTTGGACTCATTGGAAAAGATAACTGCCCACCAATCCTCCCCTGTCCAGTAACAATGGTGTTCAGCCCAGTTCATTCGCTTCCTCCGATGCCCTCCAGTGAGAA